CTGGGCATTAGCTGGAAGTATGCGGCACAGGTTCCAAGGGCTTGTCATAGCTGCGTGCAGCGTGTAGGAGCATCCCAGTAATATCACTCACATGGATACCCAAACTGACAGCTCAGGCGAACTTCGTAGTTTTGGTATTGGCAATACCTACTGTGAGTGTGATTGCATCTATGCATATACATTTATTTATTACAACTTTGCGAAAGCCTGGTTCTTTCAAACATTAGTCCTGAGTCATGAGTTAGAGACCTTATCAACTTCTTAGCTTCATACTCGAGCCTCAGACAAATGAGAGCACGATCTAATATTGTATTTGGAGCAAGGTAACGGCTACATTGGGCAGAAAACGTAAATTTGCGTTGGTTTTCAGGTGCTTTTAGTACATCAAATGAAAAGTGTTGCGTTTCCTAAATCACCCAAACCTGGGAAAAAGTCCAACCGTGGAAATTTTTTTATCGCAAAAGTAAATCCGCCTGTTATTTATTAGTTGCACAATTAAGGCAGAAGGGCCCAGCATAAGTATTCTCCACATTCATCACTGGCTTAATATTGAGTCACTGGTGGCCCAGTAATTTTTCTAGCGTAACAGGACGTGAAAAATAAAAAATACGTCTCTTATGATTTTATGGAACTTTTGCCCACAGTCCCATTTCCTATACTGGATTTAAAAAAACCACTTAATTTGTCTCATAGCCACTCTTCATGCTCCATCCAGTGATTTCGCAGAAAAAGAAATTCGAAAAACTTACGTAAATTCAAATTAGTAACATTTGTAGTGCATTGATAATCAACATCGTCGAAGAAGAGCTGCCTAGAACGCTTAATAAATGCGTTGAGATCGCAAAATTCAGTAGTACCTTCGCATCCAGGTGCGAACTTTGTTATGTCCCGTGGCTTCTCGTTATATTTATTTGCATACATTACCTAAAACAAATGACATTTGCACAAGAACTGAAAAACAAATCGACCACTAAAGCGACCTAGACATTTAATTTGAACTTTGTAACTAGTCACGCCGGCAGTCCCTCGAGGCAAGAGGCTACTAAGAATCTCGGATGAAAATTTACAAGTTTCTAGGATTGCGAAAAATTAGTGAAAAACTGATGTCATCACGAAAATTATGTACTGCCTATAAAAAGGGGTATGCTGCTTTGAAAGAAAATGTGAGTGCCCCCAGTTCTGTGTTTGAGGCACAAAGACCAGTGCTATAGTGGTTTAATACGCCCCGTCCGTATTTGAAGACGAGTGAACCGCCCAACTTCATAACAGTTTGCAAAAAAAGAAGTTTTTATTCATGGTACTTAACTTTGTTGGCCCTTGAATTATTAAATAAACGTAATTTTAGAACTTCGATGATATCCAGAATGCTATGTAGGTTTCAGCATTATGACCTCACACATGCTCGATAACTGTGTTAGCTAAATTTTAACTACTACTTCCTGTAGCCATTATTTTCGAACGAACCGTAAAGACTGCTGAAAACGTCCATCCAAAATAAAAATTTCGATTATTTCCACTACAAATTTATAAAAATCCGGACTGCACAGCTGATC